ATATTTTATAAAAACGTTTTTTTTTTTTAATTTCAACGCCCTGTATCTCAGAAAAAGCAACGTTCAAGAAACTTTTTTCCTCGTGACGACCTAACGAATCACCCTCTGAAGTTCCGTGCATTAGTTAGGAAACACCCTGTGTTGAGCCATCCAAAGGGAACTCTTCGCATAGTGCAACTCTACAATAGAATCTTCCTGATTGTTACCGGCCAAAATCTCGGGCTCAAAAAACTACGATAACACCTCAAGTTAAACTTCAGACCACTCATGAAGTGATGTGCCTACTGTAACATAGGACAATTCGGATCTTCATTCCAAAAATATGCTAGATCAAGGCTGGAGACAAATATACGATCCCTCCACTAAAACTCACCAATAATGCAGAAAATGAACTCATTAAACAATAGGATCATGATGAAGACCAAGCAATAATTTCAATAGGACACTCACAATCTTTCGATTTAACCAAAGAGTCTTTCTAGCGAAGAAAACACTATTATAACTTCGTGTAGCAATGACAGTAGACGTTCCAATAGAATGCAGATCTTGACTAGACCATTTTTGGTCTTCAAATATAAATCATAGAGATTGTGACCATTATATTTTAGGTTTTAGAAGCAGCAGAATACAACTACCCAAATTAATAGCAAGTGGCCAAAACAAGTCACTGACACGTTGTGTGTAGTTTTTTTGCAGCAAAAACTTATCAAGATGTCCTGCATAAAAAGTCAGTTTAGACCATCAAGTATATGAGTTTAGAGCTGTCAATGATACTTGTTCGTCTCATGAAATATGTATTTTGGCGACATGAGTTAATCTTCGATACGAAGAAAAAAATTAAATATCAAGATTCAAAAGAAACCAGATTTTATTAAATGCGTCATCTTGACTATCTGTTATCAAGAAAGACCCAACGAAAGATAGTCAAAATGAACTGAAAAATTTCCTCTCAGATTCTAAAATCATTTTCACGGAATCAGAAAAACGGAGAATCACCAACATGAACCCATTGTACCCTAAACTATATGGCCTGATAAAAACACATAAAGAGGATAACCCCATAAAACCGGTAGTTTCGTATATAAATAGTCCTGTAAGAGAACTAGGAATACGTCTTAACAAGTTGTTCACAGATATTACTAATTTCGTCCCACCTCACAGCATTAAAAATTCACTGACTTTAGTAGGAAATATAAGGAACCAAACCACGCCACAAAATTCAATTTTAGTTTCCTTCGATGTAAGGAGTATGTTTTCCAACATACATACATACGACGAGTGTAAGTCCCTCATTTTACACATATTAGATCAAGCCAAAGTAGACCATATCACTTCCTTTGAAGTTTCAACAGCTTTTGATATGAGCCTAAATGAGAGCTACCTTCAGTTCAACAACAAATTTTATAAACAGGATTCAGGTTTACCAATGGGCTCACCTATTAGGCCACTATTAGCAGTCATATTTATGAACAACTTGAAGACCAATATAGTAAATTCCGACCTGAGTAAAAAATATATATTAATTTTTGGTACAGATAAGTATGACGATATCCTCGCCTGAGAGGTACTACACGATAGCTGAATCAATTCATGACATTCGTGAATAATCTCAATAGTAACATTCAGTTCACACTCGAAACAGAGATAGAGAAACAGATAAATTTCTTAGACCTGACCATTACACACAATCAGAATAAATTTAAGTTCAATGTTTTTAGAAAACCTAGATATACAGCTAGGGAAATTGATATAATTACACAGATAGGTCATAATAATGGATGCAACGCAGATACTATCCAGATGTTAGTCAGAAAACTAAGCCGTAAATTTACTTCTTGGTTAATATATCCTCTTACATATTTTGGAAAAAGAACAGAGATAAATGCGGGTTTCTTCAGATAAAACAATGTGGAAGTGTTATTCAGACCACATGCCAGGTTATCTGATTTTATTTTCAATGCCAAAGATAAGGTGGACAAGTTGGAGAAATCTGGAATTTATAAGCTCAAGTGTCCGGAGTCTAATAGTGTTTATGTGGGGCAATGTGGTCGAAATTTCCAAAAACGGTATGCTGAACATGAAAGGTCCTTCAGATAGATACGGAAATTCTGCATTATACAAGGAAGGGTTACAAAGTCAATTATTCAGAACATTGCGGGTGCAACCTGTTAAATGATCAAATCGATTTAGTTTACTCACCGGTTTTCAAATTAGCACATCCACATTGTAAGTTGTAAATTCAGGTACTCAATCAAGCCAAGTACCTCTATTATCACCTACAGGGGTGCTATATAAAGGTTAATGTAATAAACCATTGTTAGTTTAATGTATAAGTTTGAAAATGTCCTTATAGGATGAAACTGCAGTAACGTTAACTACAAATAAAAGTCGTAAAAACATAGAAAGTTTCTATTCTATTCTCTTCATTCTTAAATATGATTTCTCACAACCAAAGAATGAATCAAATCAAACTCAACTGAATTGACAGTAAATGTGAGTTTTTTAATAGACATTTCTATATAGTAATCAGTCAGATATCCCAAATAGTTCGATTAATAACCAGTAAATATCAGAACACATTTCTCAGTTTGGATAAGATCAGCTACCATGTTACATGTCGAAAATATGCGTTACTTGTTCCAGTAGAAGTCGATTTATCAACGATCAGAATTTGTGTAAAGATTTATGAGGTATTAATTGAGTCGGCCTTGATTTCTTATTGTTGAACGTTGCGGGGTGTGTTCCACGAGGGCATTTGCTCTTGACCTGTGGTGTTTCGAACGATTGCTATTGGAAATAGTTAATGATTGATATCGAAGCGGATTTTCCATAGTAATGTTATAACAGATGAAATAAACGTTCTGGGAGGATTCAGTTTAGTTAGTTTATGTACTGTTATTTACAAGTTTGGAATTTAAATTATTTATTGCTGTGAAAAAGAAATTGAACATACAAAAATACAAATTGTTTCAAATACCTTGCAGGTCCACAGTTTTATCTCTTCAATATGTAGAAGTATTGAAAGTATACCTTCTGTAGATATATTTTTCCATGGCATACGTAAAGTTAAGAATCAGTTATATATATATATATATATATCCTATTACCGAATGAATGTATACCCAAATTGATAACGTTTGCAAACTGATATAGTGTCCGTCATCGTACTTGATATCTGTGCCAATGAACTCGCATCAGTATTTTGCAGACTATCCAAACTGTCTTACAAGGAAAGGGTTTTTCCTTCTTGTTGGAAGATTGCTCGCGTTTAGCCTATTCCCAGAATAGAGAAAGCACCATATCCTTGAATTTTTGGAAGGCTTCAACATCTTGAGCGATCATCAATATGGCTCTGGAAATCAAAGATCAACAGGCGACCTTCTATCTTATGTCACCCATATTTGGAGAAACGCAATTGAGGAACATGGAGGGTTGGAAGCTGTTGCGCTTGATATTTCTAAGGCCTTTGACCGTGTGTGGCATGAGTGTTTTCTGGCCAAATTTCGATGCTATAGCTTGTCGAATGTTTCCTGCAAGTGGCCGTCGATGGATACCTCTCGAATACTGTTGACATCAACGCTGGTTTTCCCCAGGGTTCCATATTGTCTCCAATCCTATTTTTATTGTATATCGGCGACTTTTCGGAAAAAACGAAGAATCCAATATATTGCTCAACTGACGACAGCCCACTTGTCTTGTTATTCCATTTGGATTCCAGAACATTGGCTGCGGATACACATTTTCACCAGCAACAGGGGGTTGCATTCCTTAATGAGGATCTAGAAGTAATTTATAATTGGGGTGGAAGTAAGTAGGTTCAATTCAATGCCACAAAAACCCAGGCATAGGCTTTATCCTGAAAAATGAATGTCTCAGAACCGAATATAATAATGTCAGGATGGACAATTCCGCTATTTCGTTAAATTTGCTGGGGTTGAAATGGACACCAATATGTCTTGGCGTAATTATGTCGCTGGAGTTGCAATGGCTGCTTCTCAAAAGCTTGAAACACTGTTCCGAACCAGAAAACTGTTAAAACCTCAGCAAATTTTGATACTTTACAAAGCTCAGATCAGACTTTCTTTGGAGTATTGTTCCCGTGTATGGATCTCCGCCCCTAAGCATACCCTGAAGCTGAAGCCTGATTGTAGACGGCCACAAGCAACCAACAGCAGGCATCAACTCTATCATCTCCAATCAATCTAACTGAGACAAACTTCATGGGACTCTTATCTGGCAAGCGTTCCTCCCAACTATTGAGAAAAAGTATACAAACCAAAAGTGTCCAAGAAAATTTGAACAATCTTCAAGATGAACATTTTATTTAGTCACCAGATCTTTCATCAACGGCTGCGAATTTACCACAATTAGACTAGTAGAAAGATTGTCCCAATCAGAAACATCAATTGTAAGATTACTGTCATAAATTCATCAGATGATTTCAAAAAATACACCTCACGATTTGATCTTCACAAACTTTATTTTAAAAAATATATCACATGTTTTGCTAACAGAGTAGCTCTTTCAAGTGATTCATCACTTCAAGTGATTTATCACTTGAAAAAGCTACTGTACTAGCGAAACATGTAGTGATATATTTTTCAAAATAAAGGGATTTATCGCTTGAAAAAACTACTGTGCTAGCGAAACATGTTGTGATATATTTTTCAAAATAAAGTTTGTGAAGATCAAATCGAGTGGTGTATTTTTTAAATCACTGTGGGTCTTGATCAAGTAACGACCTAATCAATCCAAAAATAAATCATCAGATGACGTTCATAAAAATATTTCGGTAACGAGCATATTATAGTAACATCAAGTCAACTCCAATCGACTGAACTGAGCTAAACGATATGTGACTAAAATTTGGCAAGTGAACCTCCCCAGTGTTGGAAAAAATATTCAAATTGATACTGGCAAAAGGGTTGGCTTAATGCGCCTGAATGGAAACGAAAGCCAATAACACAGAGAGAGACTTGAGTAGAAGTGTTTGAGATTAACGAAAGACTTTCAAATAAGCGTGTCGTTTCTAAACACCTGCATATTTATTACGATCAGACAAGAAGATTGTCCAAATCATGAACATCAATCCTGAAATCAGAGTCACAAATTCATCCAATGACGTTCATAAAAATGTTATGGTCTCAAAATTGCAGCCACCACCGAAGCATCAACATTAATCGGAATCAATCTAATTGAGCCAAACTACAAGTGACTCGAGTTTGGAAAGCGCACCTTCCAATTATTGGGTGAATTATGAGTAATTACCCCCATCGTCTCTCATTATTCGACCGTAAATTTTTTATTGGCGCAACATCCGCCATGGCACCGGATTGACCTTGACTGAATTTCCTTCGCGTACGACAACGTCCTCCTCGATCGCACCGCGGTAGTACCTGAACCAGAGACCCAGTACTGTGAAATTTCGTCGGTGGGTCAAACTTTACACCTGCCCCCACTCGAATTTCTTCTAGTAGTCCAAGAACCTGACCAGTCTGTCGTAGGTAGGTGAGCTGGAGCGTACCGAAGAACCATCTAATATGAATCGGGCTGCTGGAAAAAAAATGGTAACGTGATTTCGAGAAGTACCCGCGTTTTGGTTTACCGAGTGCTCTGTGATGTTGATGTGTAGTGATTGTTTTTGTTGATAAGTGGACGGACCAGCGGTAGATGCGTGGTGGAGAAACCCGTTGAGGATTCAGCTCGGGATTTAATCACTTTTTGTAGGAGATTTTCAACTAATGTAAGTCCTTCTGCACGAATTCTATCAAGAGGCTATTACTTAAACTGGGAGGTTCAAACATTTTGTATTTCATCAATTCGGACTTCCATTATATAATATAATATAAATTGATTTGAAATCCCTGAAACAATCTGTAAAAAATTAAAAAAATCAACCGGAAAATATCAATTTTAAGAAACAAAAAACTGAAATTACAAAAAATAACATACAAGTAACAACCAAAAAATAAAATAAAAAAATTGGAATATTAATAAAAGTTGAAAATTAAAAAATATAATTAACAAGAAGTGAAAATAAAAAATTCTCCGTTTTGATATATTTCCTGTAGTTAATTTTTAACTGCAGAGAATCTATACAGTTGCTTGATGAATTTGACATTTCTTACGAGTATATCCCTCACTTAATGGAAACTTGAGCAGACATTAACAGTTGAATAAGAAATCAATTCAGATGCGGGTGATTATTCTTGGATTAAGCGTTGAATTTGTTAAAAAAGTACTTTTTGACAATGACAATGACTTACCTAATTGAAAGAACACACTCGGAATCAGGTACTTCTGAATATTTCTGATTTTTCAGTAACGACTGTTGGAAATTGAAAAATCAAACCATCAAAATCAGAAAAGGGTATAAGAACTTCTTTCTATTGTTATCGAAACCCGATTTCAAAATTTATTTATAAAAACGTAGTTGCCCACGTCTACGAGAGATTGAAAGCAAATCAAAAGCAGAGAACTTGAAAACATCCAATTTTGTTTGTCTTTGATTTTCAAAACGTTAAACTATTTTTATTTAGTAATTTTTTTCCGCTTTAATCCAGGATTCGGTGTTTTGTTTATTCATATTATTGGTGCGAAATATGATCTACATCATTTCAGGACTAGTACGAACATTTTCATCACGGTTCATTTTGTTGATTTCAGTTGCCTGAAAATCATTCAAATGAAACAAAAATACCTCTCCAACAATATTTACTGTAATCTCTCGGTAACACTGTGTTCCGACGGATACTGGTTTATGAGGTTTATGAAATATTTTTAGCTGAATTGTAACTGAAAACACTTCAGTGAATAACACTGAAGCTTGCTGAATGAATTTTCATTCCATTTCAGAATGAAATAACCTTGAAATGAAAATATCATAACTTCGATTTATAAATAACAGAAAATTGCTAATAAATTGTAATATATCAACATTTCTTTCATATGTATCAAAAACTTCAAGTGACTTTACTAAAAAAAAAAAGGCGATACAAAAGTTTTGATCAGTGATCAGTTCAATTCAACAAATATTAAAATATACAACTCATGAATTGGATGTATGAAAATTCAATAAACATTTTAGGTTTAAATTTTGAGCAAATTATTGAACCTTGGATTATTTCCTTTATCAATAGTCTGTTATTTTTATCGTAATTTTTGAGAAAGAAAGCAATTTATATAAGATATAACAGATTCAAAATATTTAATTGATGTGATAATGATTTAATTTTACTGAATTTCTTGAAGGTAAGTTTTTGACCTACTCCATCTTGATGTATATTGAAAAAAAAGCTATATGAATAAGAGGGAAAAATTAGTATTAATAAAATATCTAGATAAACTAATTTGAATATATTCAATATCACCAGTACAAGTAATGTATACAAGTAGTTATGCCCCAAGCCATTTGATAAGTTGATTAGTATCGTGAGAGTAGAGCTAGCAGTTATTAAAACATCATGGTAGGTACTTTGCGATATCACAGTTGTTATTAATATTGATCTTAACTCCATTTATTTTCGTGTAAACTTGCCCTTCAAAAGTCCACACCGATCTTTCTGCAAAAGCTGACTTAGCGTCAAACATAAGAGCTTTGCGCATTTTAGTAAGGTCCTCAGCAGCAAAGATTCTTTTACCTTTTAGTTTTCCAAGATTTTTCATAACCTAGCATTTTATGTTCAAATTTGTAAAATTCGAGAATAACTGGTCTGGCTTTATTTTGTTGACCCTGTTTTCCCAACCTGAATGCTGTTAGGATGTCTTCTTTCTTGAGTGATGTATCGCTATTCTGATTAGGAAACTACAACAACCATGAATTTGAGTCTTCATCTGATTGTTCGGGTGACCCGTATATACAGATATTGTTGATTTTTTACAGTTTCTAGAAATACGACATTTCTTGTTCCAGACCATTCATTTTCGCATTTATACTTTTTACTGTACCTTCAAGTTCCTGCATTTTTTATCGATTTTATCAGTGATGGTTTTTGTTATTTTATTGATGAATTCCTCACTCGCGAATAATTCACTGATTGTTTCTTTAATGAGATTTTCTTATGTTTCTTCCTTGTGTTCGACATTTCTTTTGAAATTTTGTAACTATAGAGAGTACACTTAACTAGACTGATTCCCGCAAATTTGATCACTTTTCAGGGTTTTTAGCTAGTAATTAACTCGTTTTAAGGCGGAAGCAAATAACCTGTGACCATCTGCGAAACATTGAATGATAGAAAACATAGAATGTTAAATAAAAAGTATTAGAATCTTCATCTTCAAGATAGAGAAGTAGAAGGTCAAAAACTTTTTCACAGAAATTAATCTCTCCCAAAAATATACTTTCAATTCAAATTTTTGAAGGTATTTTGAAATTGATTTTATTACATATATTTTTTTCCAAATATCGAAAGAATTCAGCCCAATGACAGGAGGCCAATCAAATGTAAATATATAATTACAAATTGTATGTAAAAGTTATATTCTACCCTATATGTGTCCCTTGGTGATATATTCGTAGTTATTTTGCACATTTTGCACGTTTGTTAGCACGTGTCATTCATTTAAATGTTTTTAACTCCTTCTTGTAAAAAAAAGAACAGAAATAGACCTAATATGGATCCCTGTGGCAAACCCATAGACATATGCGATAGATAAAACAATTCTACTAGAAGTACTCTTACCACTCTTATTGATTCATAAATTTTTTATGTAACTTTCGAAACATCTAAAAATATTTCAATGCACCAATAATCAAATAATTAAAATTGAGAAATGAAACTCCCTATGTTTTTTTACCACTTGTGTTTGTAATTAACGTTACTGCAGTTTCGTCCTTTATGGAAATTTTCATACAAACACAATAAACTAAAATGAATGATAATGTTATCCCTTATATATCTATAAATAACTTGTAGGTAATAATATAGGTAGGTAATATTTAAGGGTCAACATTATCATTTGTTTTAGTTGATGTATGCAGCCACGTAGTCGCTGCATACAAATAATGAAATATACATATAATGAAATATACAAATAATGAAATAATGATAGGACATTTTAATCACACAACATATACTATCTCGAGAATCCCAAAATTTGCAACCACTCTTTCCCAATGGTTGAGTTTCGAATTGTTGGTGGGTTATTCCATTGGTTGGCACAAATTGCTTTTTTATAAACCACCGCACCCAAATGGGGGAATTACCTCTACAATGAAAATTCAACTTTTTCATGTTTGATCGATATGGAGTAACTCCCATTAAGTTGTCGAAATCCTCTTTTTGTAAAATTGTGAATCATACTAGTTGTGATTTCAATTCCCATTAAGTCTGTAGGACGAATTTGCGGTTTACTGTAAAATCAGTTTCCGGTATTTCAAAACGATTAATGAAGATGACTATGGATTATTCAACCGTCATTATGTTTTCAAAGTAACGGGACTCTTAATTTTCGTTCATTAACAATATCCAGATTTTGTTTATTGGCGTTCTTTGAATATATGTCCAAATTGGTTATCAAGCACCGTCGGAAATAAGATGAGGAACTTATATTCCAAACAACTGAAAATTTTGTCGTCTTTAAACTAACATTCTCATGAAATAACATGCAATAAATAGAGGACAAAACTGGAAAAACCTGTAATAAATTATTTATTGATAAATTCGAATGTACAGAATATATCTGCGAAAGTTTTACCAATTATTTTACTACGGTTTCTGAGAAACATTCAACTCCAAGTCTGGTTCTTGAAGAATTGTCAAGAACTCAAACATTACAACCTTCACTGCCTATCTTCTCTGATCATTTATTATTGTGGAAATATACAATATGTAACTTCAGTTGGGACTATTTGTAGAATGGAAAATCTCAGAAGTAGGTTGAATCGTCAAAAAAAAAAAGATTTGAATCATATCGAATACTTTGAACAAAAAGTTCGAACAAATATTGATTGAAACTGTTTTCAATATCAAGAATATGATTTTAGTCTATCAATATCGTTTTCATAAAAGACACCAATATAGTTAACAATATGGTCACATTTGTGAAGCATTGGAAGCAGCAATTCACCGAATGTCAATTTTTTAAAGGCAATTGATGTAGTGCATCGTCCAATATTGATAAAAAAACTCCCTAATGTACCTATGCACAATAACCTGTTGGATTTCGTGATATTTCACGAAACTTCACTGAATGAAATCCAATTCAACTTCAGTTACTTCTGGCATCTCACAATGCTCTCACCTAGGGGCCAATTCTATTCAGTATATGCATTAGCCAGATAAGCTGATTATCTCAAAATATAGTCAGAGCAGTCTCTTTGACTATGCATGATCGATAGTTCATCTCCCAACCAGCAAAGTTGTTCTATAATTCCATGGTGTTGCAACAGTTTTATATCATTAGTATTTTATAATTCCTTCCAAAATGCTAATTAATTATATTAGATGATCGATGAACACAATACAGTTGTAGGCAATAAAAGTGTTTTATAAATTTGTCATAGAAACGTTTATGAAATAAAATTAAAAAACCATTATAAAATAGTAAGGAAATTATCACAAAAACGTTTTTGCAACTAACTAATAAAACTTATTTTCCTATGAAAGTAAATTGTTATGTAGCAGTTTCTGCGAGATTTTCATGATAGTTATAAAACTATTTCAAGCTTATTTTGTTTCCTGTAGCTTTAATGAAATTATTTTATTGCAATGCTTTCGGATACTATTTTATTTTCACTACCAT